GCTCATTCAGGAGGTCAAGGAGATGCTAAGCACTAGGGATGAGCACAAAGTGAGTTGGGTGAGGAGGTCGGCAAACAATGTCGCCCATGTGCCGGTCAGGGAAGGAGTTAGTAATAAATTGTTTAAGGTTTGGGCCATTGAGCCCCCTGAGGGCTCATTTGGTTGCCTCCTCCCAGGATCCCAGCGTTTTTCCGGGGCTCAAAACTCACGTGGAGACGCTCGCTAGGGAAAACGAGCCCATCATTTGGACGAGCCGTTCAACGGGGTGGGCTGCCCCTACCCCCGCTCTTTTCCCGGGAAGAGGTCCCACGCCTGGACACTCCGGAAAAATTCTCTCGTCTTTTCTGTTGTGCGATCTGAACTCGCTGCTTCGCTCTGAATCCCTCGCTCGTTGCCTTCCGCCCCTCTCGTCTCCCCTCCCCTGTACCACCAAATGAGCATAGGAGATCTCCCTGGCGGAAGGAAGGGAACCACAAGTGCTCTTGAAATTCCCCCGATGGGATTTAGTAACCTGGGTGTTCTCCCCCTCATCACCAAACAAAGCCTGATTGTATTCTTCGTCTTGTATCAGATGAAATTTCTGGACATGTTATTTAGTTAACTAGGCGATGCTCCGCACGTTGCGGCGGGATTTTGTATGAAATAAACATTCCGCTGAACTAATCATCTAGCTGTTGTCTATAATTTCTCTTGTAGTAAGATAAGTTGTTTATCAATATTTTACAAATAAATAAATAAAGAAATACATATCTCCATCTATAAGTTTAAAGTTGGACGGAATAAAAATGCATGCATGACTCACTTTTCTTTCATATATAGATCACTCAGGTATCATGCTATGAGCTGCATGCATGCGTCAGTTTTTTTCTTGATTAAAACACACATAGGCGGCAGTTACTGCATGCATGTGTCATTTACTACATATGGTACATGCAACGGCTCTCGTTGTGTAGATCAGACAGATATTGTTGATTGATCTACTATATTCAAGGGCTAAATTAATTTGGATGATGTGGCTCAAGGAGAAGCGAGAGAGTTCTTAGTAGTGGGGGCTAGCTATTTAGATATAGTAGATAAGATTGAGAGACTTAAAGAAAAACTATTTTTGGCTAGTAACGTGCCAATAAATGTAGTGGCAAAAAACCCGAAATACCCCAGCAACAAAACCGAGAGTCGCCTTTTCTTTCCTTCTCCATTTTTTTCATTTATATATATATTTTTTTTGAGAAATCTTTTCATTTTTATATACAAAAAAGGATAAAAATGAAAAGATTTCTCAAAAAAAAAACGAGGATCACGTCGCAAAAGAAGAAGACAAACGAAGCTCCTCCAGAGAGAGAGAGAGAAAAGAATAAGCAGAAATGAGGCTTCTCACGGGTCTAAAACAAGGCTTTTCGAAGAAATGGCCCAGCACCCACTGGCCCAACGCACCTCCACAATCGCGCGGCCCGCCGGGCAGGCAGCGCCGAGCGACAACAAAAGCCACGACCCGTCGGCCTCCACCATCCCCTCCCCAAACCCCAGACGAAACCCTAGCCTGCCTCCCAGGAGCGCCGAGTCCCTCCGTCCCCAACAGGTGGGTGGCGGCGCTGAGCCCCTCTTCTCCCCCCAGCCTCCGCATCTCTTATCTTCCTCCGTCCGCGGCCTCGCTAATCCTCGAATCTCCTCTCCCCGTTTCAGATCTACGCGCGCGAGGTTCGGTTCGGTCTTCGGAGCTCGAGACATGGCGTAAGTTCCCCCATCCAAATCTGTAGGGGTTTGTGGCCGCGTAATCCGACTGCAAGCGCCGTGTATTTGTCTTGGTTGCCGAGTTGTTGGCCGTGTAGTAGACTCTGCGGTTACTCGGCGCACGTTTGTTTGTGCTACTTGTTGCCTTACCTTGGAGGAATGTGCCGCTGTTGTGGAGAAGCTGTCTTTGAGATATCAAGTGATGTTGTTGAGGGCGGCATGTTCCTGTTTGATCGATTCTGTGTCGCTGCCTCACTGCTCTAGGTCTTCATGTTTGATAGATCCTGTCTAGTTGCCTAATTGGTTTTGGTCGATCTCGTGTAGCTTAGTTTATCTAATTTAGAGAAGAAATTGCGAACACGTCACCTGTGGTTTTAACTTTTAAGTGGGTTGAGAGGCGGTATCTGTCATGCAAAGTACCCGGTCAGGATCAACTGATGCTGATGTAGAGATTACTGTGCTTGCTTTCAGTTGAAATGGTCTGTTCTGATTGCAGTCTTGCAGATCTTATGTAACATTGTCATGCAAGGTTGCATTTTATAGCTGTAGTGTAACCAATATTGTCTTTGTAGGAACCCAACCGGATAGAGGATGCTATACTAACTACCTTTTTCCTGGGGTAGAATTGATTGTTATCTTACTGTACGAGTAATGTAATATGTAATATAGGTAACTATAGCATGTGTGCATGTCTTGTCATTTAGTGGTCATTTGGTCATCATGTGATGCATTGCGGTCTGAGCAGTATAACAATGTCTAATGTAGAAAGATAGCTGTACATAGAGGATGTTGTATTGAAAACTAATCCTGAGAAGGTCATTTGGTCTTTATGTGATGCCTTGTTCTAGGGTAACTGTTAATTGACTGTGTGATGCAAATGCATGTGCTGGCTTGTTTTTTCTGTCAACTTAGTATTTCCTTTATGTTGATCAGGGAGGAGAATGCCCCAGTTGAGGTTGCTGCTCCGGTTGCGGCCCCTACCCCAGTTCTTGGAGAGCCCATGGACTTGATGACTGCTCTGCAGCTTGTGATGAAGAAGTCAAGCGCTCATGATGGCCTTGTCAAGGGACTCCGTGAAGCTGCGAAAGCGATTGAGAAGCATGCTGCTCAGATCTGTGTGCTTGCTGAGGACTGCGACCAGCCTGATTACGTGAAGCTGGTGAAGGCACTGTGTGCTGAGCACAATGTTCACTTGGTCACTGTGCCTAGTGCCAAGACTCTTGGCGAGTGGGCTGGGGTTAGTATTCTTGTTCATCTGCTTAGTAATATTTACATTTCTCCCAAATTTCACCTCAAATTTATCTTCATATACACGTGTCATGTTCATTTGCACAGTGAAATTTGCATTAATCCAATATGTACCTCAATGAACATGTGGTCTGTTACATCTACTTGATTTCCACTAGGTATACTTGGTCTCATGTTATTAATGGTCAAAGCTTATGTCTGGTCATTTACTAGCAGTTTTCCTTGTTTGTTGCTTAGCTTGTAGCTTAAAGTTGGGCATGCAGTATGATGGTTCTTCTTAGCTTGCAAACCAACCTTGTATGGAAGCTGGAACTGATTGCTGACAAATTCCATATCCTGTATTTGATGCAGCTTTGCAAGATTGACTCTGAGGGCAAGGCAAGAAAGGTGGTGGGCTGCTCATGTGTCGTTGTGAAGGTAAGGATTCCATTCTGATTGTTGTGAAAGAAGAATCCTGTTCTATTTTAGTGCCAAGAATGTAATTCTAATCTAACTTTTGGCTGTTCTTTCCCCTCTAACCAGGACTACGGCGAAGATTCCGAGGGTCTTCACATCGTGCAGGAATACGTCAAGTCGCACTAGGGACAGCCTTCCAGTTTCCGGATTCTGCAGGATGCTAGTAGCTTCGTTATGGTTGCGTTCCATGTCTGAAACTTGTTAGCCTATGAAAATTATCTTGTGCGGTTTTGTCGAATCAGAGTTTCGTTTCTGGTGCTGGGACATCATGGCTTGATTGTCAGAGATACAGATCTTCCAGTGTCATTTTGTTGGTGCTATCTCTATATTAAATATGAGAGTATGTTGATTTTGAGCTTGCATGAGGTGTTGTGTCTACTGCTAAGTTTGATGAATGAAATTACTCCACGCGTGATGTTCACTGAACGATCTGCGTAACCACTCTTTGATGAATTATTGCACTGTCTGTTGTCCAGGGTTGATAGTAAGCAATGCCCACTTGTGAATTAGCGAAAGATAAATTACCCTGGGAAGATGAATTAGCGTTAGAGCATTGTGGTTTATCCCACCCAGGTAAAGCAGGAAATGCACGGACGTGCACTCACATGAAGCAGCAAACATGAATACTCTCCGTTTTCCTGAAAGCAATGCTTGAAAGAAAGCGTAAGGAAGTGTCGAATCAATATGATGTATTGGCAAAGCCAGTAAGAAGGGAATCTAAAGTAGATAGGGACTAAGAAGGGAAACGAAAGTAGATAGGAACTCCCACTGTAGATGTGGTTTTATACCTTAATGAATTGCTACCTTATAGCATAGCGAATTCCGTGATTGCTAGCTTGATCCATAGGGATTGATGAAGAGTGCGCTGATAATGGAATTTTTCTTCGATAAACAGGAAACTTAAGATGGATTGATGAAGAGTGCGCTGATAATGGAATTTTTCTTTGATAAACATGAAACTTAAGATTAAGATGCTCCGAGGGAATGTCCACAATACCCGGATTTAGTCAGATCCAATTCGAGGGATTTTGTAGGTTCATTAATCAAGCCTTGGCAGTTGTTCTGATCAGACTATATATTCTCAAAGATGCATACAGCATGCATCATACTCCCTCCGTTCCTAAATACTTGTCTTTCTAGAGATTTCAACAAGTGACTACATACGACGCAAATGAGTGGATCTACATTTTAAAATATGTCTACATACATCCGTATGTTGAGTCCATTTGAAATGCCTAGAAAGACAAGAATTTGGGAACGGAGGGAGTACATTGCAGGTAGCATTCCAGTTCAACAGGTTAGAGATAAGCTGGAATTTCATGTTGTTACATCATACATTGCAGGGTAGCATTCCAGTTTAACAGCTTAGAGATAAGCTGGAATTTCAGGTTTGTAACAACGGCTCCCGTATCCACCCGTCAAGAACCTCCACGGTAGCACAGCTTATTGAATTTAGGTTGCAACTCTGAACTCTCGAACTCAAACACCAAAACCAGCTACAGTTGTTTGAGGTCACAGCACACCATCTAGTCGCATTAGTACATTGGAAATCTCTGTATAGGTTTCGCTCACCAGTCTAACCCTAAATTCTTGGAGGTGAAGAGGTCTTCGACGTAGAGAATTACTGGTCCAGACGACCTGACGAAACTCTGCATTTGAGCCCTTGCCGAATTTTCTGCGAGGTAAAAAAAGAGGCAGTGACCTGAGATCAGAATCAAGTGACACCGAGATGAAAAGATAAAACATATCCTATTGTGTTTTTGGCATATTTCGTCCCAATCATTTTCTCATGATGCAACCTGATTAACTATAGAACTGTACATAAACTTGCATATGACCCCCTCTAATGCAAGCAAACATCTATACATACAAACAATTAGATCTACGCTTTGTAAGGCAACCAAAAAGCAATGTGATCTGATCATGTCAGCAAATGAAGTGAGTTGCATGCCTGGCATGGAAGCTCAGAGTAATATAAACTACAGAAGAGATAAATCGGTGTTCTGGGGATCAGGATACTCACCATCTTCATTCAGTTTCTTCAAGAGCTGTGACTTAGAAGGGAGGGCATACATTCCAGCACCAACTGCTTTCCTTATGGCCCAGCCATGGTGAGGAGCAAACACCTGAGCATAAGCCTTTGACGCTGCGTCCTTCAGGGAGTTGCCTCTGAAACAGAAGAGAATGTGAGCACTCAGGTAACATTTACTCAACAGGCATGTAAGAGTAGCAAACTAAAGGGTTGACAACATAATATAAGTGACAGCACTACCCCGTTTGCAACTTGAACTTACTCTGTGACTAATATCTGCTCAAACAGAACTTTCACCATATCAATCCCACGCTTAACCCTGAGTAGATTCCTCGTATGGCTCCCCGCCTGCCTGACAGTGCCCTTCTGAATGTCAAGCTCAACCATGGAGGGCAGTGTCGAAATCGTCTTGGATGCCTCCAGTAAATCATTAACCTGCAACCAAGTAAAACGAAGTAATCAGACAAGATCACCAAACAAAAGCCTTGAAAAGGGGATGCTGCGACTAACTAGGTAATCGATGGCACGAAGTCAGTCATCAAGGTTTCTGTAACAAGATAACATGTGAAACCCGAAATGGCCGCACGCTTGGTTTGCTAAGCAGTAGTGCTAAAATAAGTGCAGAATTAGGTTGGAAGTTCCAACACCTCTTAAGCATACATCAGAACAAGCATATCACAATAGTAGCTGAAAGCCTGAAATAGATAATCTGGTCCTTATGTGCACACAATAATTCCTGGCTTGATCAAGCTGAAAATTAATTGAGACCACCTCGCACTAACCTCCTAGCCTTGAACAAGCCCAGGGGATCACCACAATTACCTTAAACCAGAGATGTATACAATTAAAGCAGTAGTACTAACTCAAGTGCAGAAGTGGGTAGGATTTTGTACACCTGAAGCACACACCGCAACAAGCATAGCACACAGACACAGTAACAGAATTAGACAGTCCGATCCCGATGAAACACCCAATTATTGCTGCTTGATCCAGTTCGGAATTCGACAGATCATTTCACCCAAACCTCCTAGCCTCAAACTAAAATGGATTGGCACAATTACCTCACCACATGGATGCACAGCTATGCAGAGTACAATTCAAAACGAACTCAAAACAGAACTTGCCAACTCGATCCGGTTGAGAATTTTGAGGTCATTTCACCCCAAACCTCCCAGGCTTCACACAACGAAACCAATGTCCCGGGAATCACCAGAAATTTTACCACATACAAGCACAACGAAGTAGCATACCGAACAGCCGACTCGCCCTAAGCAGCCGAGGGCTCCAACCGGGGGAGGAATCGCGAGACGCGAGCTAGAGCAGAGCAGGTAGCGGGGAGGGGAGGAGAGGGGGGCGGAGGAGCGGGCGCTTGCCTTGGCGACGTAGTCCATCTCGGCGAACTTGAAGGCGATGCCGAGGCAGCCGAAGAGGACGGAGACGTTGGAGCAGGCGCGCGAGAAGTCCCCCGCCGCCATCGCGGGCTGCTGCTGCTGCTGCTTGGCGACGGCCGCGAGCTGCTCGAACGACGCGCCGATCCGCCGCAGCGGCTTGTCCGCCTCGTTGGACCCCATCGGCCGCTCGCCGCCGCGGCTCGCCGCCGGCGTTGAGGGCGGGCGCTTCGAGTTCGAGAGCTTGGGTGGCGTCGGCGTCTGGGATGATGCGTTGTGCTATTTTTTTTTTCTCTCTCTCTCTATGCGTGGTGATGCCTTGTGCTTTCGGTGGTTGTACGCGTTGTTGTGTGAAGAGGGCGACGGCGATGACGGCGAGGTTGGGGTCGGTCGGTCCCGTGATGGGCCTGAAAGTGGGAGCGGTAGCAGGCTCGGGCCACGGAATGGAATGAAACAACTTGGGCCATTCTCTGCTAGGCCCATGAAGCGTAAGTATGTTTTTTTGGGCTTCTAGCTTAATTTCCACTCCAAAGGAACTGGGCCTTGCTCGACAGAGAAAGCCCTAAAAAAAGCCAAGAGGCCGAGGGGGTGGATCGAGGAGCTTCCATCCGAGCGTCCATGTCCACGGCGGCCGGTGATCTCCCGGCGGCGTCGACGAGGAGCGAGAGGCGGAAGGAGCGGAAGAAGGAGCGCCGCCGGCGCGCGCGCAGGGAGGCGGCGGCGGCCGCGCGGGCTGCAGCAGAGGCGCTCGCCGCCGACCCAGAGGAGGGGCGCCGCCTCCGAGAGCTCGAGGAGGCCGAGGCCGCCGCGTCCGACCGCGCGCGCCGCGCCTTCGAGGACGCCGAGCGCCGCTGGCTTGAGAAGGCCGCCTCGCGTGCCGCCGAGGAGGCAGCCGCGGAAGAAGAGGCGAGGGCCGCCGAGGCTTCCGCACGCGACAAGGTCTCCTGCTTCTCACTTACCCCAGTGCCTTGGCTCCTTCAACTGAATGAACTCGTATTTGGCCAGTTGCTTGCTTGCTTAAAACTTAGAATAGATACGCATTCCGTTTCTATATTGTTGACGAACCTGCACACCCGATTTCGTAATAGTAATAGCATAATCTGCAGAACAATGGGACGGTTTGGGGTGTATGTTGTCTAACTGACATGAACAGCATTTGTAGGATGTTGGTATTTGCTGCCTTTGATGTGAACTGACACATAACAATAGCATAATACAAATTATACCAGTGTTGTTGGAGATGATTGGAGTACGATTGATAATAAGAAGCCAAAGAGGATAATAATCAGGAAGAAGAAGAAGCAAAGTTTTGGGCAAAAATCCAAGCATTGATGAAAATGAAGAACATTGTCCTTGCCATCTGTTTGAGCCCATTTGGATGCCCCGGACTTGAGTTATACTTATATGCTTATGCATGATGCTGTTCACCTTACCCCATTTCAGTTCTCCGCTCCTTGGTAGCTCATTGTTCAAGGACACTCATGCTTTGTCCATGGCACGTGTCTTCACAGATTCTTGCTGTCCATTGGACATATTTATTCCAATCCTCTTGATACATCATATATGCGTGTTGTTTTGATCACTAAATGCATGTGTTGTGTGGTTTTCATCAAAAATGTTTTACTAGCTGGTGGAATGTTTCAGAATACGTTACGTTCTAATGGGTCCTGACTATTGTTGTTTCTTGGGCTATTTCAGTATAATGATGACCACAGAGACGAGACAGAAGACGATGGGGAATGGGAGTATATTGAAGATGGACCAGCGGAGATCATATGGCAAGGAAATGAAATCATTGTGAAGAAGAAAAAGATCAAAATACCAAAGAAGGCAGAGGATAAACCACTAAGTCAAGAGGTCAATCTTATGTTTGTGATAAAGTTTTGTTGTCTCTTTACTGTTGCTCAAGGATCCAGTTTTTGACTTACCATCTGAAAAGGGCATGTCCAATGTCTTGCAGGAAGAGAGACCTACATCAAATCCGCTGCCACCTCAGTCTGTAGCTGTTGCTTCTCAGAGGAGAGAACCTTCCTTGTCTGCTCGAGAACTACTTGAGAAAGTTGCTCAAGAGACTCCAAATTTCGGAACTGAACAGGTATACTCCATGGTTCTCTTTTCAGCTGGACAGGGAAGGATGTACTTCTATTGCAAAATATAGGAAGACGAAATCCCAATATCTAATCAACACATTTTCCTATATTTGCACCAATGTAACGACTCTGTTTATTTTCTCTGTAGGATAAGGCCCATTGCCCATTTTACCTCAAGACAGCAGCTTGCCGCTTTGGAGTGCGCTGCAGCAGAGTTCATTTCTACCCTGACAAATCATGCACATTGCTCATGAAAAACATGTATAATGGTCCAGGCCTTGTTTTGGAACAAGATGAAGGGCTTGAGGTTTGTTAGAGGACAATCCCTTGCAAACAAATTGGTATCCTGAACTACAGTCACATTAATTAGAATACTTATTCCCGACCTACTCACTGTTTTGGCCCCTTGCTTTAGGAATTAGGCAAATATTAAGTACAGTCACATTAATTTCTGTCTAAATTTGGTTCTCAATGTGGGATTAACCAATGCATGAAGGAGGAGTGACCATGCATGCTGCATTAAGACAGGGTCCATCACTTAATTAGGTCCTCCTTGGTTACTGTGATTTTCTAGATGAGCCAAATGGATTAAGCTTAAACTTTGTGCTGTACAATGAACAACCATAGGTAGAAATAATTGGTTACTTTAATTCTTTTGTAAGTTCTCTTCCAAGTGTTAAAATATGCCTGTTGCTCTTTAGAAGTTTTGCTTGATCTTCTGGCTACTCTCAGACCTGCGACATAATGCATGTTCATTGATGCATTCTCCAAGAATTCCCTCTCGAGGCAAGCAGTGACCAACCACCCAGTTGGTTTCATTTGATTGGAGACGCCCTGAACTTTCATCTGCTACCGTATCCTAAATTTTCATGTTGCTGGTGTTGCTGAGATTTGCTATGTTTTAACTTTTTAAAAGGAAACATCTCCAATATTTAATGTTTACAACATGTCTTGAGAATTATTGATGAAGCAGCTCCTTGACAGTCCAATAGTACTTGTGAGATGTTCTTTTATTGGACGTGTTGATGATCATTAGGTGACAGGTGAATGTGTTTTTAACCCCTTTAGTATAGAAAATACCTTTTGATGGTAAACTATTGCTTAAGTAGGCCCTTAGTATTACTTTTGTGTTTTCTAGTTTTAATTATCTGTTTCTCCCTTTGTGTTTTCTCTCGTGTTTACTTCATAGGTCATGGAAGTTACAGTTGAATGGTTGATTTGATCCATAGCTAATAAGATTTTTTTATAACATCCTCCAGTTTACAGACGAAGAGATTGAACAGAGCTATGAAGAATTTTATGAAGACGTGCACACAGAATTTCTGAAATTTGGTGAACTTGTTAACTTCAAGGTTATTTTTTCTTCCTTCCCTACCGGGACTACTTGACTTTCCCTCTGGCAGCATCTCTTTATCTGTTGCAAGAATAGTACTTTATCACTAACTTTGCAGGGTTAGGTAGTTGGTTATTAGTCTCCAAGGATGATAATTTGTTCTTACTTAATGGGGTCAGTGGCCTAATTCAAGAATGTTTGTGTTACCGTGATGTGTTTGCTACAACTATCAATCATGCACGTCCAATGCATGTTCCCATAACATTCCATATGAACTTGTGAAGTGTACTAACATTGTGGAAATCCATATTTATAAGACCTAAGTTTACGCATCATTAAATTTATTTCTTCTCCAAGTAAACCACTCAAATGAAAAAATCTCGGAGATTAAACATATGTTAAATCGTGAGCCATAAGCATGCATGGTTAAATCATGAGCCGTAAGCATGCAATTAAGAGGTTATTAGTATTGGCGATTAGGAGACTAATTCTGCCAGCTATTAATGTGATATATGCAAGCTTTAGACTGAAAGTAACCAACACCGCTGTGAGTCAATCAGGACAAACAGTTTCACCTTAATTCATGTTGGCCCCATATCTCAAACGCCTTCACCTTCACTCTAATATTCATATGTACTCAGTTCGTACCCGAATGCAGCACAAGAAGCATTGCCTCTTCTACTCTTACAAGTATAGATATAGATATGATTGATTATGGCTGATTCATACAATAGTATTAGCAGGCCGATTCTCTAATAATCTACTCAAGGTATTTTTTTGTTCTGTAGGTATCTAGCTTGTTCACTGTAGTTGTTCATAGCGACTTATCACTTTGTTACACATGCTATACCCTAGGGACTTCTCAAGTGCGGACTTGCATAAGCATTTTAACCTCACCTCCAGTTCAATATGCCACCCACCTAATGGTCTCGTGGACTACACACCAATAATGTAAAAAACTAAATATAGAGAGGAAAAGGAACCTCGTACCTAGGTCTGTGCTGGATTTCTATTAATTGAAAAGCAACTGGGTGGATTGTTAGCTTGAATTAGTACACATATTTGATCTGAAATGGTTACCAAAAGTGTTATCACCATTCATCAGTGGTTCCGTTGTGCGCAACACTAAGAAGCAGAAATCTATATTTAAATTTGAATTTTAAATTTAAACTAGATGACATGGTGATTTTCTAAATCCCGGTCAGAGTTGGCCCTGGTATGCAGGATGAGTTTTCTCAGGTTATGTGACTTGGCCTAAGCATTTAATCTACAGCTGAACAATTAACTAATTCAAGATTCTCTTTATTTTTCTAGTCTTCTCATGCGTTATGCTGAACTTTGGCTTCTGCATAACATTTTTTCCATAGAAATAATTCCAGATATTATTTCAGGTATGTAGAAATGGATCATTCCATCTTCGAGGAAATGTCTATGTGCATTATAAAGCCTTGGATTCAGCTCTTCTTGCCTACAACAGCATGAATGGTCGATATTTTGCCGGGAAGCAGGTGATTACTTAATTTTATTCCTCAAGTACTGTGAGTTATGTGAGCACAATGCTAGAGTATTGTTGTGAATGCTTTCTTACATCTCAGAGAATCCTTCACCTTAGATGTTATGCTGAGTTTCCATAACATGTTCCTGGTTTTTCCTCTTGTATAAGCTTACCTTGAATATTTTTTCCTGCTCTTCAGATAACATGTGAGTTTGTTGCTTTGACGAAATGGAAGTCAGCGATCTGTGGTGAGTACATGAGGTCA